AGAACATTCCAAAGTACAATAGTCAATGGTGCAGGGACAAAACCTGTCAAGCAGTTGATGAGATTAAGGAGGAAAGGACATCTGTAAAGTTTCAAGGGAAATAACTGCCCTTGGAACCAGAGCTTCTGCCTTCCCCTCTCCATAATCAGCCAGCAGGAAAGTGAAGAACTGTTCCCAGCATGCTCTCTGTTGCTCGCTTCCCTCCTCCATCACCCTTCCACCAGACCTATTTTCTCTCTGACATTGCCATCTTCCCTCTCAAAACAGAACAAACTCACTCTAGACAGATTATACTTTAAATGTGACTCTTTTGCCCTGAAGCATTTTTTCTAGTACAATTTGGTTTCAGACCTTCTCTTTCTATTTGTGGAGCAGATTTTTCATTCCCTTATCAAATATTCATCAAGCACTCATATTTTGTGTCAAGCACAAAAATCACAAGTTTTTTGTGTTAAGCCCACCGTGATGAACAAGACCAGTGTGGTCATCATCTTCATGATATGTACAACTAGTATTTGAGACTGATGTCATCCAGTAAACAGTAAACCTATGTAAGTACTATGAGAATATAAAACCAGATGCTGTTTGAAGAGTCATGTTTGCTATATATTGGAGCTCTCTGGAATAACAGTCAAGAGTCATGAAGGGTAGAGGAGAACCCTCCAGTGTGAGCAGCTAGGAGGAGAGCCTTCTGCAGCAGGCAGGGAGGTTGACAAGAGCATCCCCAAATGAGCTACTAAGCAGAGAGCAATTGGGGGCAGGGGTGAATGGAGATGAAGCTGTTGAAAATGTCAGGACCCAGATTCTGCAGGCTTTTGTAGACTCTGCTAATCATGTGGGTTGTAATCTAAGAGCAGTGAAAATCTACTGAGAATTTAAGTAAGAACTGACATGATCCAACTTGTTTATCAAAGATACTGTCACATATGTTATGTGGAAAGTCACTGGAGTTGCTCAAGCATGGAAACAAAGAAGAGTGGCTTATGGCAATGGCTCAGGTGACATGGATTTCTGCAGCTCCTCTGTCTAAAACAATGTCCCCTGCTCAGTGCCTGAAACCAAACTGGCTTCCTCATGCCAAATCAATTCCTTGCACAGACAGGTGGTGGTTGGTGCTGGTTCACCATCTACTACACTTCTCTGAACAGTGCTGACAGTGATTTTTGAAATTGAGAATTTCTATATTCTCACCAAAGGAATATGTCCACTTGTGGCCTTTTTTTTTTTGGTTTTTCAAGACAGGGTTTTTCTGTGTAGCTTTGCACCTTTCCTGGAACTTGATTTGGAAACCAGGCTGGCCTCGAACTCACAGAGATCTGCCTGGCTCTGCCTCCCGAGTGCTGGGATCAAAGGCATGCACCACCACCGCCCGGCTCTTGTGGCCTCTTAATGTGATCATCTTGATCATCCTTTATTAGCTGCATCCTTCGAGGGACTGCCCCGTATCTTGAGTTACAGTGGTAAAAGAGAAGGTACAGTTGCTACAGCCCACTTGTATTTGAAGGCAAGACTAATAAAACAGATGCATTGAATTTGTGAGATAAGAGAAGGAAAGGGATCCAATGATACTGTGCAATTACAGCACCATCTACCATGGAGAGACAATGGGGAGGAATGGATCACAGCTTGGGAGGGGAGGTTCTGGTTTTCTAGTTGAGGTATTGAAGATGGCAAAACATTTTTCAAGGAGAGATATCAAGAAGGCAGATGGATAAACCAGCATAGAATCATCGGGTAGGAGAGCGCTCAACAGGAACACTGGAAACTGCATACAAGCTTTACAGATGGGAGAGCATGTCCAGGAGAGACTATGGTGGGGGGAACTACCGAAGACTAACACCCCAATAAGGTCACAGAAAAGGGGTAGAGTGAGGAGCAGGAGACTGGGATGTCATGAAGCTATGGGTCCAGTTTGTCTATGGAAATACTTTCTGTGTGAGAATGTGGTATATGAAGGTGAATACACAGAGGTATCCTCTGGATTTGATGCAAAAGTATCACTGAGTTGGGTGTGGTCGGAGAGCAAACACTAATGAAGCAAATTTGGTTCTAGCCAGTGTAGCTGGGACAGTGTTTGGACAGAGCAGCTGCAGAAATCCCAGAAGGCCTGTTGTGGCTGGTTTCAACTTTGTAGGATGCACCCCTGTTACATATCCTGTTGGAACATCACAGAGAAGATGCAGTGGAAACATGTTCCTCAACCACTTCATAAATGTGCATGATCATGTACCCTAGCCTGTACAGGGCACATCATCACATACCCAGCTTGTGCCAGGTCCACAATCACATATCTTAGCCTGTTCCCAGGTACAAGAAATAAAGAAAGAAGGAGGGGGAAAAAAAAAGAAAAAGGAAAACAAAAACAAAAAACATGGTCTAAACAAATCAGGCCATGGAATTACGAATCAAATTACTAAATCTGAATAATTCTTTCATTGTACACCATGATGTCATGAACTTTAAAGTTTGAAAGATTAGAGAAGGGGTCTTCCTGTCCCTAACTCATCTCACCTTGGTGCTGTAGGTGACAGGTCAAGGCATACAAAAGTGTTGTCCATTGAGGTGCCTATGGAGTTCCAAAAGCTCATGCCTGCGTGGGTACTGCATGTCCAGCCCAGAACTATAGAGCTCCTTTACTCAGAAATTAAAAATATGCACATATATAGATTCCTACCTCTGAAATATTTTACTTTATACACAGTTAATTTTAATTTCTGATTAATTTTCTTTATAGGAAGTAGCTTAGAGCACAAAAACTCTTAGTTTCTCCTTCAGTTTTAATCACTTATTAAAAATCTCTTGAAAAATCTTTTTATACTAAGATTTGTAAATAAACCCATCTTTAGCTTATCACAGGGAGAGTTATTGGAGATAGGAAAGAATAGAAGGAAACTGAATAAGGCCGACTAATGACAGCTGCTTCCATGTGTGAATTAACTTTTTCACGGTCTGAAGAGAGCTCTCCTGTTGAGTCCCACACATGCGGTTGATGAGATTTGGAGGACAACTGCTAAGTACTCTGGTGGGTGACAGGCCGGTTCCTCCACAGTGGGTTTGCCTCACAAGCTTTGCCTTATCTGCATGGCAGCTGGGTGGGACAATTTTCTCAGTCAGTAAAAGGGGTAAAGAAACCCCAAATGTTACTCTTGGGTGGCATTCTGTAATTTTGGTCAAGCTACTTAACCTCCTCTCTGCTTCAACTCCTTCTTTAGGAAATGGTATAAATAATGTCAACCTTCTCCCTGTGTCTCAGAAGTAATTTAAGGCCAGCTAATTGCCTCTACCACATGTGATGTAATGCAGGGAAGAGCTGTTAACATGAAACATCATTGCCATGGTCCCGGTCAGAATGGCTATTGCACAAACTACCCCAGGTCTTTTGAATGGTGTGTTTAACTGCTCAAGGCAACATTTTCCTATATTGGCAAGGTGCCACTTTCTACTGAACTTTGATTTTTAACACTAGCCCACAGTAGGACATATTGCCATTTGCACTGAACACAGCCACTAATTCCATATTATTCCTAAAGCAACCAAGGATTCTTGGTTTATGATGTGAAACTATTCACAGATACCAGTTTGTGGAGAGAAGGAAGATAACACTGTGCCCAGAATAACCTGTTCAGATTTCACATCAAAGGAGAAACTTTTTACAGCTAACTTGGTATTTTAAAGGTGGCCAGATTGTTGGGGAAAATATCAGCTCCATTATTCTCTTTTTCTCCTCATCTAAGTCACTATTAGAAGTGCTATATAAAAATTCTCAACTTTTATAACAAAGCAGACTCGTGGTATGTGTGGACTGGATACACACAAGAATCCTTGATGACCTCTGACCGGTTACAGAGGTCAGAATGGAATCACATCCTAAGGCTGATGGGGGGGGGGCGTGGGGAGGAGGCTCCCTTAGCTACTAGTGGAGAAAGATCACCAGCTACCCAGAATTCAATATGAATGTGGTTTCTCTCTCACTCCCGCTCATACACCAATTCCTTAGAGAAAATTACATTCTAGAACGATATTACAAAACCTGAGGGTTTTCAAAGGTCATGAGACATATTCCTCACAAATATCAAGGGTTCCTGTATTAGATTTCCCTGCTTTATTTTTGCCTTAGGGTAAAGAAATTCAAGGGGAATGTTATTGTTCGTGGTGGTAACTAACTCATCTTTGATTTCTCACACATCTGTTCCCTACTTGACTTCTGGCCAGCGATTTGTTTTAAGTCATTTCTTAGAACACATACATATGTTGTAAGTTGTTCAATCCTTTTTGGAAGTAAACGGAGTACATCCTCAATGGATGTTGAAGCTAGGCTTTCTTAGCTAGCTTCAGCATCTTAGTTTATCTTAGTCTAGGAGCCATCCCTGTTAAAACTACCAAAAAGAAAAAAGAAAAATCAAAAACAATGATTTTCTTTTTAAGGCAAGAGAGCAATGATAATTTTCAGATGAATCAATCCAAATCCCAAAATTATCAGGCAGTTGCTGAGAATTGTGCTTTGAGCGACACCTAATGGTTGAGAAAAATCACTCTCCGACTCCTTTGAAGAGGGCTCAGAATTGTGTCTTAAATCCTGGCTCTTACCCATCTTCCTCAGAATCCCGGGGTGCTGCTAAAAACAAAAGGGAGCACCTGGTCCCTTCGCTGCTGCTGGCCAGGGCCGCTGGGCAGTGTAGTATCATAACCACCGTGAAGGCTGAGAGTCATTCGTTTAGTATTGTCAGGTCAGGGTCCATGCTAGGCTTGACACCACAAGTTAGACCAGGCTGAGGCAAAGGGATCAGGCCCGAGCTGTGCCTTGAACTCTTGGACATAAAGGAGGCCCAGGGTCGGGTGGGGAACGGCGTCCCTGGGCGCGGCTGGCTGCCCTCTTGGCAGTGGGGGGTGTTGGCGGGGCCCTGGAGAGCAGCCGCCAGGCTGCCAGCCCACGGCTCTGGCGAGGGGGTGGCTGAGCCCGGGGACGTGGCGCGCCCTAACGCTGTGCTTGGTGTCCGCAGACGAACCCCACGCCTGGAGTGCTGCCGCTGCCGCCGCCCCAGGCCTGCCGGAAGTAGGCGTCTCCCTCGAAGACATCCTCTCTCCATTCTCTCCATCACATCCAGCCCCACCCTCCGACCCTTCCCACCAGATAGGCCCAGACCCAACTTGGGATATCCAAAGGGAACACGACGTTAGGAAACCAAAGGAGCTTTCGGCCGGCGGCCAGAAGAAGCAGCGCCTGGGGGAGCAGAGGGAGCGCTCGGCGAGCCCGCAGCACAGCAGCGCGCGGCCGAGGCCGGAGGAGGTGCCCGGCGGCCAGGGGAGGCC